TGGGGGTCCGGTGCCGCCTGGAGGAGCCGGGAGCTGGCACCGAGCAGCGTGACGAGTGCGTGCGGTGGTGACGCCGGCCTTGCCTTCCTCCCGCAGGCTGATGCTGGGGAGAAGTCTGAGCTTTCACCAAAAATATTTGAAAGGAAATCTCCGTTCCCCCCTGGGAGCGAGCGGGATGGGTGGCTGCTGGGATATGAGATGCACCCAGGGAACAGGGGCGCGGGGAGAGCCCCCTGGTCCGGTGAACCCCAGCGCTGCCGGCCCCGGGGAAGGCAGAGGCTGCTCCTGGGGTCTGCAGGCGAAGGACGCTGTGACCTTGTCGCCTGCCCTTTGCCTTCGCAGGGCAGCTCCTGCAGTCGAGTAATGGCCTCACGCCTGGGCAAACCTCCGCGGTCGTCAGGCTTTCGCTGCCTGGCAGTCCCGCACCCCGTCACGGAGCAGCAGGGTCACCTTTGCCGGGCGAGAGTGCGGACCCCCTTCCTCCAGCAAGCCGGGTGCTGCGTGTAGCAGTTCCTCTCCCTGGTCGCCAGGCTATTTTTAAGTGACATTAAATGCCAAAGTGTCAGTTACAGGGTTCCTTACTGCCTGAGGCATCACAAAGCCCCGTCGCAGGCGGTCGGTAGCCCCTGCGACAGCTCTGAAAGCCGGATTGCCAAGGTCAGGTCCTAAAACTGCGGGCCTCACCTGACAGTTTTAGGGTGAAGGACTCTGCCCGCTCTCTAGCAGGTCCCACCATGGAGTTCAAGCAGTCCTGATTGCAAAGTCTGCTGCTCTCGTGCGTCACCCACTCGTGCACCGACGCCCCGGGAGCGGGAGCAGTGAACCCGGCAAAGCAGCTGTGCTGCAGCGAAGATGAGGAAGAACTTCTTCCCTCTGAGGGTGACGGAGCCCTGGCCCAGGCTGCCCAGGGAGGCTGTGGAGTCTCCTTCTCTGGAGATATTCCAGCCCCGCCTGGCCGCGGTGCTGTGCCCCCTGCTCTGGGTGACCCTGCTTGGGCAGGGGGTTGGGCTGGGTGACCCACAGAGGGCCCTGCCAACCCCGAACATTCTGTGATTCTGTCTGGAGCAGCCAAAGTAATTCATCAGCTTTGCTGGAAACCCAGATGATTTGACCTCGCCAATGCCAAGGTTCACGAGGCTCGTAAGAACGCATTTAATGTTTTAAGCAGGTAGCTCCAAGTAAGATATTAAAATGTGGGCACTGCTGCGCTGTAGTATCCTTGTGCGATTACCTCTGCCCACCCTTCGCCTGCACACACACACACGCGCGTTTGGTCTTCAAATCTGCTTCATTTTGAGCTTTGGAATATTCCAGAAATCTGTATCTCTTTGGATCTTAGCTCGAATTTATGGTGGTGTTATACTTGCCGCCTTGTACAACACCAGGTAGAAGATTTGCTGAGGTCTATCGAGGAGTATGATGGCCATCATTACCCAGGGAGGAGGCAGCCTCGCTGCTCAGCACGTGAATGGAGGCAACAGCCTGCTTTGCACCGCCCGGATTTAGAAAGCTTTTCTTTGGGTGAGTTGCTGGCTCTGCTGAAGGAGCAGAGCTCGGTGCTGCTGTCGGGGGACAGCCCGCTGCGATGGGGCTCTGCCGCTGCCGTTCCCTCGGGCTGTCGGGGCGGCCGGGCAGGCAAGCTGGGAATTTTGCCCTCGTTTGCAGGAAGACGTACGGGGCGTCGGAGCAGGGCACAGGTCGCGGCGTAATAGCGATTCCTGGCCCCACGGCTCTGGGACGGACACGGTGCAGGACCATAACCCTGGGCAGGGCAGGAGGAAGGGACAGCGGCCGGCTTGGAGCATCCCATGAGAGCAGCGGGCTGAGCTCGGAGGTG